CCCCAAAACCCCAAAACCCCAAAACCCCAAAACCCCAGTGCAAGAGGTTTATTCCTGAATTCAGCTCAATTTAGTTAAGCCAAGTTGTTGGTTTCAAATATTTATGAGGTTTGAATTCTAAAATCTCCGACAGAAAAATTATAACTTTTTACCCAGACAATAAGACTAAATCATAATCATTACTTTCCAATCCAAATTCTGCTCATATTAAAAATCTTCCCCAAAACCCCCTCCACAAACCTTCCTTCTTCACCAAAACAGCCCTCACATCAACCCCCACTCCTCTCCACCCAACCCCATCCCCAACCAGCCATCCCCCATCCCCCATACAAATCTCTACTATAACCTCCCAAAACCCCAGCTTGCCCTCGAGCAGTAACCAGAGTACTTATTAAAAGACTGGGCCAGAAGTAGGATTCTGAGTGGGCTCAGAAAGATTTTGGAGGAAAAGCAGGTTTAAAGGAGGAGATTTGGGTGAAGAAGTAGTAGGGATAGCTAAGGGGTGGAGGGGTTGGTAAGGAATGGGTGGCAAATGGGGGGATTGGAAAGGGGTAGAGGGGGTTGATAGGAGTGGGGTAATGGATTGGAGGTTGGGAAGGAGGTGATGTGTTGTTAGGAAGGACTAAGGGGAATTGGAGAGGGAGAATGGGAAGGTTTTAGTGTGGTCAGCAGGTTGTGTAATTTCTCTCTTGGGGTTTAGTACAGTGTGGATTTTTTAGTAAGGAATGGAGGAGGATAAAGGTGAATAGTTTCTATTAGAGATTAAGAGAGTGAATTTTTGAAGTTTTTGGTTCAGAATTTGTTACAGATATTACTAGGATTTTAAAATTTGATGCATAAATAATTCTCAATCTGGTCTTTGATCTTGAAATCCTCAAAGGTCTTAGGTATATAATTATTAAAAATGAAGCTGTTTGAGGAAGAATCTTTAAAATCTTTAATTATTGAACTCATTTTCTTGGGCTAGCACTTTTTCAAATATAAAAATTAGTATTTTGTAAAAATATGGGCCTTCCTCTTATTAATAACTAGAATATTCCGATAAGCCATTGAGCATGAGTCCTGTTAGTCTTTAAAAAATAGACTGACCAGGGATCTATTTCCATAACAACTTGAGGCACTTGATTATTGCTCAAAGGGACTAAAACAAATTATAATCTAAGAAACATCTCAAAAACGAAGCAAAAAGTAGAAAGGAGATATTCTGAGAATCTGTTGAGAAGTTTATATAAAGATTATGACTTTGCTAGTTATATAAAAGCTAAGGAGCCTGAAATTAACGAATCAAACAAGTATCAAAAAGAGTAACACAAAATCTTTCTATTAAATCAAGTCTAAGAAACTTAAGATATTTATTAAGCCTACCCAACTTAAAAAACCTATTTACAGCTCCATTTCCCCCTAAATAACCTAATCCCAACTCTAATCCCTCAAAACTCCCAATTCCCTCCCAACCCAACCCTCCAAAACCCCACTTCCCCTCTAAGACCTCTAAGCCCCTCTTCTCTCTTCCTAAATCCCAGCCCTCAAAAGTTACCAAAAAATCTCCCAGGAAGAAACCTCAACTGAGAATTTGACAGTTTGGCACTAAAAATAAGGAAGAGGAGGCTTAACTGGGATTTTAGAGGAGTTTTAGGAAATTAGAGGCTTATTTGAGAGATTTTAGGGGTTTTAGGGGGTTTAGAGGGGCTAAGTATTGGGGTGAGAGGGGGTTTTGGGGAAGAGGAGGGGGATTATGGAATGTTTTGGGGAGGTATGGGGTTCTAGGGGTTTAAATCTTTGAAAATAGTTTTATAAATTCGTGTTTGGGGTGAATGTCAAGGGAACGACTGATATCTTATCGGGTTTACGATATTTTGAATATTATCTAGAGGATTATCATTATCATTTTATATCTTAGTAATAAACCATTTCTCTAATTTCTTTCTGTTAGATAAATCCAAATTTCCACTTCTTTCGTCACATATTAAATCCTGGTTGATCACGAGACCATCTCTACCTCTAAACTCCTCATTACCATCTTCTTCCTCGCCATAGTCTTGCCAATCTTCTCTCTCATTTCCTTTACCCCTTTCAAATAATGACTCTCTTGTTATTCTTCTTCCAATAATCTGTATTACTAGTCATGGCCTTCTTTTCAAGTTTAGCAGAAACGTGCAAATTATTCTTCAGCTCAGCCCCATCCTTGGAGGACAGATTGATAATCTTAATACAGTTTCTCCTTCCACTGCCAAAAGCAGGGTCCTAGAGGATCAGGGAATAATTATTAAGCCCTCAATGCTAGAGTCTTCTTAGAGTGTCTTGGCTGGCTGTAAGATCTTCCTCATCAGGATCTCAGTGATGAGAATGCACTTTAAGGAGGTTTAAATAGTTTTCGGCAGGCTTCTTAGAATATGTGCTTCATTAATTGGTAAGATTTTTCACTGAACATTTCCTTAGACCAGTCAAGCTAGAAAAAGATATCAGGTTGTTATTATGTTTGTCATGATATCAACACCAGACTTCTAAAATGGGGTTTTGGGGTTTTGGGGTTTTGGGGTTTTGGGGTTTTGGGG